TGAAAGTGCAAAATCCTTAATGGTCAAAATTTTGTGCAACAACAACAAAAACACACTCACACACAAAATTGTTAGTAGTTAATCAACTTTTTTTTGTGAGTGTAAGCTGCAATTTTTATTTCATTGAACTTTAATAGAGATGATTGCTAGAAATTCAATTACATTTTAAATGCAGCAGTTTTTTTCTGTTGCTGTTGCTGCTCTAGCAATTCGCCTGCTGGTGCAGCAAACGGGTTTCTATCTAATAAACCTGGTTTCTTTTTAAAAAGGCTGTTGGTTAGAGTTAATTTTTCCATATTGGTCTTTTTTTTTTGTATTTTATTTTATTTCATTATTGTCAATAATATAAAATGATTGCGTGCTTAATAAACTTTAGAAAAAGTTGCAATTTGTGTAAAGTTTTGTTTCTCAATTTTAAAGCCAAAAGCTAAGAGGGTAACTCAATAAAAGCTTTAAAAAACTTACAAAAATTCCAAGAAAATTATTAGTTTTTTAAAGAAAAAGTTCCCTGGTAGTCAATGTTCGAACAAAATTTTTTCTTGGTGGGCAGTTTTTGAGCAGTTTTTTTATAGAAAATTTTGAAAAGTTGGGCAGTTTTCTAAGAAAATGTGCTTTAATGGTTATCGTTCTTTACAAACTTCTCTTTCATGCACAGCTTCTTAAGAAGTCTAACTTTCGTTGGCAGTTTTCTATAGAAAAAGTTTCTTTTTGAGCAGTTTTTTTTTATAAAAATGTGTGTAATGGGGCAGTTTTCTACGTAAATTAAAATTTTACGGGCAGTGTTCTTTAGAAAAGTGTCTTTCATGATCTGCTTACCAAGAAGAGTTGTTTTTTGCGGACAGTTTTTCTAGGAAAAAGTTTCCTTCGTGAGCAGTTTTCTATGGAAAAATTTGTTAAGAGAACAGTTTTCTAATGAAACTTAAATATGATGGGCAGTTTTATAAAGAAAATTATTCTTAGTAAGCAGTTTTCTATAGAAAAAGTTTCCTTTTGAGCAGTTTTATAGAAATCTATGTAGATTGGACAGTTTTCTAAAGAAATGTATCTTTGATGGGCAGTGTTCTTTAGAAAGCGTATTACATAACCAGTTTTCTAAAAAGAAGTGTTATACGTGATCGGTTTTCTATAGAAACGTGTCTTTCGTGAGCAGTTTTCTATGGAATATGTGTTTGCCGGCAGCTTTTGTTTAAGAAAAATTAATATGGCAGTTTTATAAAGAAAAGTGTGTGTAATGGGGCAGTTTTCTACGTAAATTAAAATTATACGGGCAGTGTTCTTTAGAAAAGTGTCTTTCATGATCTGCTTACCAAGAAGAGTTGCTTTTTGCGGACAGTTTTTCTAGGGAAAAGTTTCCTTCGTTTTCTATGGAAAAATGTGTTAAGAGAACAGTATTCTAATCAAACTCTAATATGATGAGCAGTTTTATAAAGAAAAGTATTCTTGTTAAGCAGTTTTCTATAGAAAAAGTTTCTTTTTGAGCAGTTTTATAGAAATTTATGAAGATTTGGCAGTTTTCTAAAAAAATGTATCTTTGATGGGCAGTGTTCTTTTGAAAAGTGTCTTTTATAAACAGTTTTTTAAAAAGAAGTGTTATACTTGGTCAGTTTTCTATAGAAAAGTATCTTTTGTGAGCAGTTTTCTACGGAAAATGTGTTTGGTGGCAGTTTTTTTAAAGAAAAGTTAATATGGTAGGCAGTTTTATAAAGAAAAGTAGTTTTGTTGAGCAGTGTGTATTTAGATTGGGCAGTTTTCTAGGAAAAAGATGGGCAGTTTTCTTTAGAAAAGTGTCTTTTATAAGCAGTTTCCTAAGATGAACAGATATATTTGATCAGTTTTCTATAGGAACGTGTCTTTCTTAAGCAGTTTTCTACAGAAGATGTGTTTAGCGGCAGTTTTATAAAGAAAAGTAGTTTTGTTGAGCAGTGTGTATTTAGAATGGACTGTTTTCTAAAGAAATGTATCTTTAATGGGCAGTGTTCTTAAGAAAAGTGTCTTTTATAAGCAGTTTTCTAAGAAGAAGTGTTATACTTTGTCAGTTTTCTATAGAAACGTGTCTTTCGTGAGCAGTTTTCTACGGAAGATGTGTTTGGCGGCAGTTTGTTTTTTAAGAATTTTTAGATGGCAGTTTTATAAAGAAAAGAAGTTTTGGTAATCAGTTTCCTAAAACCAGATTTCTATAGAAAATTGCCTTTAGTGGGCAGTTCATGACCAGTTTTCTATAAAAAAGTATCTTTTATGGGTAATAATCTATAGAAAAGTTTCTTTAGTAAGCAGTTTTTCAGGCAAATTTTCTTTAGTGAGCAGTTTTCTTATGCAAAGTTTCTTTAGAGAGCAGTTTTCTATAGAAAATTGTTTTTAGTGGGCAGTTTTTAAAAGTAAATAGTTTTCATGAGCAGTTTTCTATTATCAAGTGTCTCTTACAGGCAATTTAAAAAAAAATATCTTTGGTGGGCAGTTTTTTGATGAGCAGTTTCAAAAGTTTATTGTTTGAGCAGTTTATCTTTGTTGGTCAGTGTTCTTTAGAAAAATGTCTTTTAGCAGCAGTTTCCTCAGAAGAAATGCTATACGTGATCAGTTTTATATGGAAGAATATCTTTTATGAGCTGTTTTCTAAAAGTTAATATGATAAACAGTTTTCTAAAGAAAAGTTTCTTTAGTAAATAGTTTTCTATAGAAAAGTGTCTTTCATAAGCAGTTTTCAATACAAAAGTTTGTTTAATGAGCAGCTTTCTATAGGAAAATGTTTCCCATGAGCAGTTTTCTATAATAAAGTGTATTTTATAGACAGTTTTCTATAGATTAATCTTTTATGAGCAGTTTTATTTAAAAGAGTTATTATGGTGGACAGTTTTCTATAAAATACTATCTTTCATGAGCAGTTTTTTAAGGAAAAGTATATTTGGATGACAGTTTTTATAGAAAAGTGGTTTTAGCGAGCAGTTTTATATAGTGAAATGTCTTTCATAGGCAAATTTCTATATAAAAGTGTCTTTCATGAGCAGTTTTTTTTATAGAAAAATGCCTTTTCAGGTCAGTTTTCTATATAAAAGTGTCTTTCATTAGCAGTTTTCTATGGGGAAATTACATTGGTTGGTAGTTTCTAAAAGAAAAATGTTTTTGACAGTTTTAGGGCAGTTTTCTAAACTAAAGTGGTTTAATGGGCAGTTTTTTAAAGAAACTTTACTACGGTAGGCAGTTTTCTTTGGTGAACAGTTTTCCAAAATGAAAATTGTCCCGAATTTTTTTAGGAAAGTGACTTTTTTGTGCAGTTTTCTCTGCCTTCTATCCTTCATGGGCAGTTTTCTATTGAAAAATATCTTTGCAGGGAAGTTTTTTATAGAAAAGTTTCCTTTATGGGCAGTTCTATAAGTAAAACTGACAATGATGAGACGTTTTCTAAACAAAAATTTCTTTGGAGGACAGTTTTCTTAATGAAAGTTGTCTTTCTTAAACAGTTTTCTATGGAAAAATGTCTTTAAAGGGCAGTTTTTTAAAAAAGTCTTTTTTGTCTTTACTAAACAATTTTCTTTACAAAAGTGTCTTCACTAAACAGTTTTCTATAGAAAAGTCTCCTAGTTAAACATTGTTCTATAGAAAACTGTCTTTACTAAACAGTTTTTTTACAAAAGTGTCTTCACTAAACAGTTTTCTTTAAAAAAGTGTCTTCGCTAAACAGTTTTCTATAGAAAAGTCTCCTCGTTAAACATTTTTCCATAGAAAAGTGTCTTCTTTCTATAAAAAAGAGTCTTTTGTGAACATTTCTCTATAGAAAAGTCTTCGCGTTAAACAGTTTTCTATGGAAAGGTATATTCGTTTAACAGTTTCCATTAGAAGTGTCTTCGCTAAACAGTTTTCTTTAGAAAAGTGACTTCGTTAAACAGTTGTCTATAGAAAAGTCTCCTAGTTAAACTTTGTTCTATAGAAAACTGTCTTTACTAAACAGTTTTTTTTACAAAAGTGTCTTCACTAAACAGTTTTCTTTAAAAAAGTGTCTTCGCTAAACAGTTTTCTATAGAAAAGTGTCTTCGCTAAACAGTTTTCTATAGAAAAGTCTCCTCGTTAAACATTTTTCTATAGAAAAGTGTCTTCACTAAAAAATTTTCTATAAAACATAGTCTTTTGTGAACATTTCTCTATAGAAGTCTTCTCGTTAAATAGTTTTCTATAGAAATGTGTCTTCTTTTAACAGTTTCCTTTAGAAAAGTGTCTTCGCTAAACAGTTTTCTTTGGAAGAGTGTATTTGCTAAACAGTTGTCTATAGAAAAGTCTCCTCGTTAAACAGTTTTCTATAGAAGAGTTTCTTCTTTTAAAAATTTTCTATAGAAAAGTATCTTCTTTTAACAGTTTTCATTAGAAAAGTGTCTTGGCTAAACAATATCTATAGAAAAGGTGTCTTCACTAAATAGTTTCCTATATAACTGATCGTTTTCTAATGTTAGCCCGCAAAAAAAAAAACACCTCTTTTTGTTAACCCCTCTATGGATTACAAGATTTCTATTTCAACCACCGGCCATTCATTCATTCGTTCAATTTTTTTCTTTCAAAAACAACACTTTACATTCGAATTCCATTCAAGTAGTTTAATACAATTTTAAGCAAATATTTTTGCATTTTGTTGTTGTGTTTGTTGTTGTTGTTGTTTCTGTTATACATGTTTATTGAAATTGAGTTTATTAAACTTGATTGTATTTGAAATGTTGAGTATGGAGGAAAAAACTTATAACATACAGCTGAAGCTCTATTTTTTTGCTGTATGTTGCAAAACTTTTGCCATAAATTTTGTAATTTTTTATAAAATAAATTTTAAATGTTTTTTTTTACTAAAGTCAAGAGAGTACAAGGCAACCAAGTCAAAACATGTTCAATAACTATGGTCATTGACTAAAATTTGAGGCGATTATTGGAAATAAATCAAATTAAAAAAAAAATAAATTAAGAAATTTTTGAAACTGTTATTATGGGAAATCAATTTTAATTTATTTATCTTTTTCTTCTTTCAGATTAAATTTTTAAAAACCAAAGAAGGTACCGCCATGGTCCAAATGGGTGATGCCGTCGCTGTTGAACGTTGCGTCCAGCACTTGAATAACATTCCGATTGGCACAAGTGGCAGAATTCAAATTGCTTTCTCGAAACAAAATTTCTTATCTGAAGTTATAAATCCCTTCCTATTGCCCGATCATACACCCAGTTTTAAAGAATATACTGGTTCCAAAAATAATCGTTTCCTATCGCCCGCACAGGCAAGCAAAAATCGTATACAACCACCGAGCAAGGTTAGTGTTCTTTTTCAAATTCCTATATTTTTCTCTTTATAATTATATATTTGTTGTTGTTGTTGTTATAGATTTTACATTTCTTTAATACACCACCTGGCCTCACCGAAGACCAATTGATTGGCATTTTCAATATTAAAGAGGTTCCTGCCACATCTGTGCGATTATTCCCCTTGAAAACAGAACGTTCCTCATCGGGTCTAATTGAATTTCCAAATATTGCCCAGGCCGTTTTGGCCATTATGAAGTGCAATCATCTGCCAATTGAGGGTAAAGGTAAGCTTTTTTCTTAATAATTTAATTCTATTAAAAGAAACTTCGTGTTTTTCCAAAAGAATTTTCTATAGAAAATGTAGAATAAGAAAGATTTTCTATAGAAAATTTTTCACAAATGCACTTTTCTATGGAAATCTGTTTAAAGATGATACCTTTCTACAGAATACTACTTAAGAAAGACACTTTTCTATTTAAAACTCTCTTTCAAAGACAATTTTCTATAGAAAACTGTTTACAAAAACACTTCCATAATTAACTCTTTAATAGAATCAAATTTCTATAGAAAACTCTCAAACAACGACACATTTCTATCGAAAACTGTTCTATAGAAAACTCCTTAGCGAAGGTATTTTTCTATTCAAAGCTTTCTATAGGAAATTTTTACAAAGTTTTCTATAGATAACTATTTTATGAAAACATGTTTCTAAAGAAAACTCTCCAACAAACACACTTTTCTAAACAAAACTCTCTAACAAAAACACTGTTCTATAGAAAACTGTTAAGGAAGATACTTTTCTATAGAAAACTAACAAAGACATTAACACTTTAATGAAAGCACTTTTCTATAAAAATCTCTGAAATAGAACTGAACTAGAACTGAACTAGAACTGAACTAGAACTGAACTAGAACTGAACTAGAACTGAACTAGAACTGAACTAGAACTGAACTAGAACTGAACTAGAACTGAACTAGAACTGAACTAGAACTGAACTAGAACTGAACTAAAACTGAACTAGAACTGAACTGAACTAGAACTGAACTAGAACTGAACTAGAACTGAACTAGAACTGAACTAGAACTAGAACTGAACTAGAACTGAACTAGAACTGAACTAGAACTGAAATAGAACTGAACTGGAACTGAACTAGAATTGAACTAAAACTGAACTAGATCTGAACTAGAACTGAACTAGAACTGAACTAGAACTGAACTAGAACTGAACTAGAACTGAACTAGAACTGAACTAGAACTGAACTAGAACTGAACTAGAACTGAACTAGAACTGAACTAGAACTGAACTAGAACTGAAGTAGAACTGAACTAGAACTGAACTAGAACTGAACTAGAACTGAACTAGAACTGAACTAGAACTGAACTAGAACTGAACTAGAACTGAACTAGAACTGAACTAGAACTGAACTAGAACTGAACTAGAACTGAACTAGAACTGAACTAGAACTGAACTAGAACTGAACTAGAACAGAACTAGAACAGAACTAGAACAGAAATAGAACTAGAACAGAAATAGAACTAGAACAGAAATAGAACTAGAACAGAACTAGAACAGAACTAGAACAGAACTAGAACAGAACTAGAACAGAACTAGAACAGATCTAGAACAGAACTAGAACAGAACTAGAACAGAACTAGAACAGAACTAGAAGAGAACTAGAACAGAACTAGAAGAGAACTAGAACAGAACTAGAACAGAACTAGAACAGAACTAGAACAGATCTAGAACAGAACTAAAACAGAACTAGAACAGAACTAGAACAGAACTAGAACAGAACTAGAACAGAACTAGAACAGAACAGAACAGAACTAGAACAGAACTAGAACAGAACTAAAACAGAACTAGAACAGAACTATAACTATAACTAGAACTAAACTAGAACAGAACTCGAACAGAACTCGAACAGAACTAGAACAGAACTAGAACAGAACTAGAACAGAACTAGAACAGAACTAGAACTGAACTAGAACTGAACTAGAACTGAACTAGAACTGAACTAGAACTGAACTAGAACTGAACTGAACTAGAACTGAACGAGAACTAAACTAGAAATAAACTAGAACTAAACTAGAACTAAACTAGAACTAAACTAGAACTGAACTAGAACTGAACTAGAACTGAACTAGAACTGAACTAGAACTGAACAAGAACTGAACTAGAACTGAACTAGAACTAAACTAGAACTGAACTAGAACTAAACTAGAACTAAACTAGAACTAAACTAGAACTAAACTAGAACTAAACTAGAACTAAACTAGAACTACACTAGAACTAAACAAGAACTGAACTAGAACTGAAGTAGAACTAAACTAGAAATGAACTAGAACTGAACTAGAACTGAACTAGAACTGAACTAGAACTGAACTAGAACTGAACTAGAACTGAACTAGAACTGAACTAGAACTGAACTAGAACTGAACTAGAACTGAACTAGAACTGAACTAGAACTGAACTAGAACTGAACTAGAACTGAACTAGAACTGAACTAGAACTGAACTAGAACTGAACTAGAACTGAACTAGAACTGAACTAGAACTGAACTAGAACTGAACTAGAACTGAACTAGAACTGAACTAGAACTGAACTAGAACACTAGAACTAGAACTAGAACTGAACTAGAACGGAACTAGAACGGAACTAGAACAGAACTAGAACTGAACTAGAACTGAACTAGAACTGAACTAGAACAGAACTAGAACAGAGCTAGAACAGAACTAGAACTAAACTAGAACTAAACTAGAACTAAACTAGAACTGAACTAGAACTGAAGTAGAACTAAACTAGAACTAAACTAGAACTAAACTAGAACTATACTAGAACTGAAGTAGAACTAAACTAGAACTGAACTAGTACCTAACTAGAACAGAACTAGAACTGAACTAGAAAAAGTACTTTTTTTAAAAGGGACCTTTTATAAAAAGTACTTAAATTCATAAATCCATTATACATTATAAATTACCCCCAAAAAACTATGTTTGGGTACTTTTTCGAAGAAGTACCTGGGTACTTTTTCCAAAAAGTACCAAATTGTTTATAAAAACTTAATTTAAGCCAGTTTATAACAAAATACTAATAAATAATTTGTGTTGCCATTTCTTTAGGTACCAAATTTCCATTCATCATGAAACTATGCTTCTCCTCCTCGAAGAGCATGAATGGCGCCTGGAATAATGCGGCAAATGAGGGTATGATTGAAAAAGAAAATGAGGGGGATCTTAAGCAAGATCCGTATAATTGAGAAAATGTTATAACCATACAATTAACAACATATTAATAATTTTAAATTAAAACAACAACAAAAACAACCGCAACAAGTGAAATTTAATTTAAACAAGAAAAAAAAACATTTTATTTAAAACAAAAAACCCCCGTTAAAGAGTTAGAGGCAGCAAGAAAAAAGCAGAAATGTTTAAAAAGAAAATGAGCAGCAACAAACACAAATTACAAGAAAAAATTGTGAGAGCAACTTTTAAAATATAAAATGCATGATGAATTTTTTTTTCTTAAATATAAATAAATGTTATTTAAATTTAGTTTTTTTTTATTAATATTATTTTTAAATTGTTTTTTATATTTTTAATATATAATACAATGTTATGTTTTGAGTTTGTTTTTCTATTTTATTTTTTTTAGAAATATTTTAGTTTTTAATAATGTAATTTAGTTGTAAATTATTATAAAAAAATATATATAATTTTCTTTAACTTTTCGCTGGACCTATGATGTAACTAATTAATTGATAAAAGCTAAAGCTTTTCGATATTTTTTTAACAAAAGCTTTAATTGTTATTTTATACTATTTTTGTTTTTAATTTTTAGTTTTTAATTTCTGAAAGATTTTGTTTAATGAAAAAAAAAAACTTCCATTTTTTTTAATAATTATTTAAAAAGAAAAAATAAATGTAAATTTTAACAAATTTGAAAAGTTTAAAAAAGAAATGGAAGTGAAAAAATTACATGATTTTGACAATATAAAAAAACAAAATTCTAGAACTAGAGCAAATATGATAAAAAATAAAAACCACAACTGCAAAAAAAAACAAAAACAAAATATTGTAAAGGAAAATTCCTATAAAACAAGAAATTGATTTAAAACAAGAAAATTTATTAATAAAAATAAAATAAAAACATTTTAATTATAAAAAAAGGAAACAAAAAAACTTAAAAAAATTGGTTTTTTGCTTAAAAAATTAAAACAAACAACAACAACAAAAGTAGTATTATAAAAAATAATAATAAATTTAACAAGAAACAAAAACAAAATATAAATGTTAATTTTATAATATTAAAAACTAAGATGTGCTTAAATTAAAAACAAAACAAAAAAACTGCATATAAATTAAAAAAAGAATTAAAAAAAAAACATTACGCCTAAAAAAAATTTTAGCAATATTTTTTCTTTTTTTAAAAACAGGCGTTAATTTTTGTGTAAAATTTATTAATGAAAAAAAATATATATAAATATATTTAAAAAAAAATTGCACAATTTTTACAAATTTACAATTTTTATCAAAACATTTAAATAAAAAAGACATTTTTGTGCTTATTTTTAATTAAATTAAACTAATTTATTATTAATTAACTTTTTTTTATTTAAAAAAAATTTTTAATTTTTTTATTATTTAAAGCTTGTTTTTTTTTATTTGTTTTAAACTTGTAAAATATTTTAAAGATTTTAAGTTTTTTTGTAAAAAAATAAATATTATTTAAAAGAAAAACTTAAAAAAAAAACTAACTTCAAAATTTAAACAATAACGTATTCAGCAAAAAAACTTTAAACAAAAAGTCTTAAATAGTTAAAAAAATTAAACAGAAAACCTTAAAACTTAACACCTTTCACCCAAAAACATCTTAAAACAAAAAGTGTCTTGGCTAAACAGCTGTCTAAAGGTTTAAATCTTCACTAAAATGTTCTCTTTAAAAAATTTTTCTTTACTACAGATATTTCTTTAAAATGTTCCTATAAAACAGTTTTTTATAGAAAATTATCTTTAAAAGAAACTATTCTGTAAAAAAGTGTCTTAACTAAAAAGTTTTCTATAGAAAAATGTCTTTGTTAGAGAATTTTCTATAGAAAAACATGTTAAAAGCTTTCTATAGAAAAGTGTCTTTATTTTCTCCAAAAACATTTCTTTGCTATACAATTTTCTATAGAAAGAAGTCTTTGCTAGAGAATTCTCTATAGAAAATGTTTTCTTTAAACAGTTTTCTATAGAAATAGGTCTTTGCTAGAGAGTTTTCTATAGAAAATTACACCATTTAGAGAGTTTTCTTTAGAGAAGTTTTTCCATTAAAGTTTAATCTAAGGAAGTCTTTTTGTAACAAGTTCGCCATAGAATAGTTTCTTTGTTAAAGAATTTCCTATAGAAAACAGTTTTCCCTAAAGAGTTCTATAGCAACATGTCTTTGCTAGAGATTTTTCTATAGAAAAACATATATTTTACAGAGTTTTCTATAGAGAAGTCTTTCCGTTAAAGTTTTATCTAAAGAAGACTATTTGTAAACAATTTCCTATAGAAGTTTCTTTGCAAAAGAATTTTCTATAGAAAATGTGTTCTTTAAACAGTTTTCTATAGAAATAAGCTTTTGCTAGAGAGTTTTCTATACAAAATTAACTTTTTTAGAGTGTTTTATATAGAGAAGTCTTTCCATTAAAGTTTAATCTAAAGAAGTCTATTTGTAAACGATTTTCTATAAAAAAATGTCTTCTATGGAGAATTTTTTTATAGCAAATGCTTTTATTAAAAAGTTTTCTATAGAATTAGGTCTTTGCTAGAGAGCTTTCTATACAAAATTTTCTTTTTTTAGAGAATTTTCTATAGACTAGTCTTTACATTAAAGTTTTATCTAAAGTAGACTTTTTGTAAACAGTTTTCTATAAAAAGAAGTCTTTGCTAGAGAATTCTCTATAGAAAATGTTTCCTTTAAACAGTTTTCTATAGAAATAGATCTTTGCTAGAGAGTTTTCTATACAAAAATAACTTTTTTAGAGAGTTCTATAGAGCAGTCTTTCCATTAAAGTTTTATCTAAAACAGACTTTTTTTAAACGTTTTTCTATAGAAAAGTTTCTTTGCTAAAGAATTTTCTATAGAAAATGTTTTCATTAAACAGTTTTCTATAGAAATAGGTCTTTGTTAGAGAGTTTTCTATAGAAAATTAACTTCTTTAGAGAGTTTTCTATAGAGAGGTCTTTCCAATAAAAATTCATCTAAAGAAGTATATTTGTAAACAATTTTCTATAGAAAAATGTCTTCTATGGAGAATTTTTTATAGCAAATGCTTTTATTAAAAAGTTTTCTATAGAATTAGATCTTTGTTAGAGAGTTTTCTATAGAAAATTAACTTATTTAGAGTGTTTTCTATAGAGACATCTTTGAATTAAAGTTTTATCTAAAGCAGACTTTTTGTAAAAAATTTCCTATAGAAGAATGCCTTTTATGGAGAATTTATTATAGCAAATGTTTTCTTTAAACAGTTTTCCATAGAAATAGGTTTTTGTTAGAGAGTTTTCTATTGAGAGTTGCATTTTTTAGAAAGTTTTCTATAGAGACATCTTTCCATTAAAGATTTATCTAAAGAAGTCGTTTTGTAAAACAGTTCCCTATAGAAAAATGTCTTTGCTAGAGAATTTTCTTTAGAAAAGTGTCTTCCTTAAACAGTTTTCTATAGTTAGATGTCTTTGCTAGATAGTTTTCTATACAAAATTATCTATTTTAGAGAGTTTTCTATAAAGACATCTTCCCATTAAAGATTTATCTAAAACAGACCTTTTGTAAACAGTTCCCTATAGAAAAATTACTTTATTAGAGAATTTTATACAGAAAATGTTTTCTTTAAACAGTTTTCTATGGCAGCATGTCTTTGCTAGAGAGCTTTCTATAGAAAATTAACTTTTTCGGGGACTTTTCTATGGAGACATCTTTCTGTTAAAGATTTATCTAAAGAAGTCTTTGGTAGACAGTTTCCTATAGAAAAGTTTCTGTGTTAAAGGGATTTCTTTAGAAAAAGTGTCTTCCTTAAACAGTTTTCTATAGCAACATGTCTTTGCTAGAGATTTTCTATAGAAAAGTGTCTTCGCTAGAATGTTTTCTATATAGAAACATCTTTCCATTAAAGGTTTATCTAAAAACGTCTTTTTGTAAACAGTTCCCTATAGAAAAATGTGTTTACTAGAGAATTTTCTATATAAAAATGACTTCGTTGAAGAGTTTTATATAGAAAAATGTCTGTTTTGGAGTGTTTTCTATCGAAAAGTGTCTTTATTTAAGAACTTTATAAGGAAAAAAGTAATTGCTAGAAAGCTTTCAAGAAAAGTGTCTATTACAGAGTTTCCTTTAGAAAAGTGTCTTTGTTAGTAAGTTTTCTATAGAAAATTTGTCTTGTTAGAGAGTTTTCTTTAGAAAAATGTCTTTGCTAGAAAGCTTTCAATAGAAAAGAGTTTGTTTTAGAGAAAATTAACCTCTCTAGAGAGTTTCCTATAGAAAGAATGTTATTACTAGAAAGCTTTCAAGAAAAGTGTTTACTACAGAATTTCCTATAGAAAAGTGTCTCTGTTAGTGAGTTTTCTATAGAAAATTTATGTTGTTAAAGTGTTTTCTATAGAAAAATGTCTTTGCTAGAAAGCTTTCAATAGAAAATGGTCTGTTTTAGAGAAAAATAGCCTGCTAGAGAGTTTTCTATAGAAAAGCTTCTCTGTTAGTGAGTTTTTAATAGAAAATTTGTCTTTTTAGAGAGGTTTCTTTAGAAAAATGTCTTTGCTAGAAGGCTTTCAATAGAAAAGGGTTTGTTTTAGAGAAAATTAACCTCTCTAGAGAGTTTCCTATAGAAAAAAAGTTATTACTAGAGAGCTTTCAAGAAAAGTGTTTACTACAGAGTTTCCTATAGAAAAGTGTCTCTGTTAGTGAGTTTTCTATAGAAAATTTATTTTGTAAGAGAGTTTTCTTTAGAAAAATGTCTTTGCTAGAAAAGAGTCTGTTTTAGAGAAAATTAACTTCTCTAGAGAGTTTTCTGTAGAAAAAAGTCATTACTAGAAAGCTTTCAAGAAAAGTGTTTACTATAGAATTTCCTATAGAAAAGTATTTCTGTTAGTAAGTTTTCTATAGAAAATTTATCTTGTAAGAGAGTTTTCTATTGAAAAATATCTTTGCCTGAAAGCTTTCAATAGAAAAGAGTCGGTTTTAGAGAAAATTAACCTCGCTATACAGTTTTCTATAGAAAGTGTCTTCTGTTAGAGATTTTTCTATAGAAAAGTGTTATTGTTAAACAGTTTTCAAGAGTTTCTATAGAAAAGAGTTGTTATTGTAACATTTTTCTAGTCTTTCTTAGAAAGTTTTCTTTAGAAAAATTTCCCTTAAAGTAAATTTTCT